GGGTGTTGTTTCGAAATCTTTCAAATGCTTGAGAAAAATTATCGAGTTGGGAAGTGAGTATGGCGTATGTTTATCAAACAGGGGGCGGATACTCTTATCTAAAAATGACGATAGCTTGCATAGTGGCGATTTCATGCCGCTGACTATAGGTCTGAGCGGTTCCTCAATTTTATGGTCTTTTGGATTGTAGTATAAATGAGGCAATTCTGAATCGGTGAATGATGGTCTTAATTTTTCCATCATAGCTTGAGGCATCTGCTTATTTGAAACTAAATTTCGTAGAAATTTGTCTGTGTTTTTTATCATATCTTCTAATGGTGAGCTGGCTATTTCTACATAGGCATTGGTTTTCTCCATGTATATCGTTGATTTCTTTAAATAGTTATCACGAGTGTCGGCATGGAATACCTTAGATTTGTCCGTTTCTCTAAATATGATATTCTTTTGTTTTTGAACTTTTTGAAAAAAACGTATAGCCGGTTCTATTGTTGGGTCTCTTGGTATTTCTGTTGTGACTATCTTTTTAATTTCTTCTTCTATGCGTTCGCAAAATTTCTTTACAATGGGCGGTTCTCGTCCTATGGTTTTTGTCGTTCTTCTCCATGCTGCTGAAATTTTCTCTTTCATTTGATCTATTTCGTTCGGAAGGCGTTCTAGAACTTGTTTTGGTGCTGGTGGTACGAATTTCGGTCCTAGATTGAGTACTCTTTGTTCTGTGTCTCCTAATATAAAAGCTTTATTGTTGGCTTGAGGTGGGAAATTTATCTTAGTGTAATGTGGATGTAATTTTGCTTTTGAGAAACCTGGATGATGTCGGGTTAGGGCGTGCACTAGTTGGCGTTGGTTGCGCACGCCCTTTTTGCTAAAAAATTCAGTTTCTTTCTTGAAAATTGGTTATGTCTTATTTGTGCTACGTGAGTTAAAGTTTCATATGATTTTTGTAAGCAAGTTGGTAAATTCTTTATCATTTCTTCATATTCTTTTCTAGCTTGCTCTAATTCTTCTACTTTTGCTCGTCTCATTAAAGTTGTTAGGTCTAATTTCGTTTTCCTTAATACATTTTTCCATTGTTCTCGAAGTGTATTCAAACACGGGTTGTCTAGTTTAAGTCCTTTTGCATGTAGTTCTATTTTATCGAAAATATTGAGGGATGGTGGTGGCATATTTTCTACGAATCTTCTCTCTAATTTATCTAATTGTAATTTAAGATCTAGTGTTCTCATAAACTTTTCATGTAAAGTCTGTATATATTGTTGTTCTGTTAAAGTTGCTCTATGTTTAATTTGTTGTGCAGCTTTTTCTTTCATCTGATCGAGTAAAAGATTGTCTAATCTTCGTTGATCACTATTCTTTTTATTATCAAGGGCTTTTTCAATAATATTTCTTACTAAAGAAACTATTTTTGTCCATACGTGTCGAGAAAATGATGAATGTAATTTTTCTTCTCTCTCGTTATCTAATGCCTTATATTTATTTTCGAGAAATTCTTGATGATCTTTTATTGCTTCGAATGTACATCTTTGTCTCATTCGTTTGAAATGATATCTACATTCGATGGGCATAATTGCAAAATCAAATGCAATATGTGCCGTTGTTATAGCATTTTTTGGTATTACTGATGGTGATCTTATTAATGGCTCTGGTGTGGAACTTTGCAAAGGTGATATTATCATCGACGATTCTCTAGCTACATTAGCAATAGGTGCTTGGATCTCTTGATGTTCATTTTCATTTTCATTTTGTTTCTCCAATGGCAAGAGTGAATTGAAAGAGTGTTCTTTGTTATTTGTTTTCTTATCGTTGAGAAATGGTGATGTCTGAAGGGATCCTCCAATTAGTGGTGCATTATTATCTCTCGGTGGTAACGTCTTTCTTGGAATAACTGGTGGGGGTTGTCGTGGTGATGGTGGTGTTGGTGGATCATCTCGTCTGTGTCCTAGTTTTCGTTTTTGCCCTGGTGTTGGTTCAGGCAACCATTCTTCAAAAAATTCTTCTTCAAATTCAGTAAAATCTAATGGAGCCGGTGGACCTGTTAAACCTATGGGTGATGGACGAGCAATAGGTTGACCTTTATTCTCTCCTT